ATAAATTTTCGTACGAAGTGAACAACTATCAATTGAAATATGAGAAATGAAAAAGCCGATGGGGTACGTTTCCTTTGATTCAATTCCGTTTAATGTAATATCGCTACAATTTAAACTAGGAGAACCAATCTGCTTGTGTAACTCCACGCTGCATATCGTGACATCTGAACCAGTGTCAACTAGACTATCAACTAAATGATTATTTATTTCTACAGTCTTCATAATTCTATCCTTATCAAAAATTCGTTGTACTAAAGCTTGTTTCTCGAGATTCTGCTCTGGACAGTCAGTTGATTTATGCCCAAAAATTTTACATTTAAAACATTTTATACCCTTCGATTTGTTTACACAGTGCGATGACCGATGCCCAAATTCCTGGCAATTAAAACATTTGACCTTATTAACGTTAGATTGATTTCGGTTTGATGACGCAAGCTTACTTCTATCTTTAACTTGAGTGTCTACTTTCGGTTTCGGATTTTTAAACTTATCATTGTCCGATCTCATTTTATCATAAATTTTTAGCCTCTGTTTAAATTCAGATATTGTTTCGCACCCATATAGTATAGTTTTCCTCACCACAGAATCAGGAATACCATCAATGACATATTTAATTAATGAAGCATCTTCAATGTTACCTCGCGAACACATTTCTTTCATTTTCAAAAAATACTCATCTAAAGATTCATAAGCCATTAATTTACGCTTACATAACATTTCATGCAATTCAGTAGAATTAAAAGCTTTACCAAATTCAGATTTCAAAAGCTTTTTTAACTTACACCAGTCATTAACTTTAGGTTCACTCTGAATAAATAGTTTCGCTTTACCTTTTAATGATCTTTTAGCAAAAACTAATTTATGCAAATCACTCAATTTCAAAGAATTTATAACATCTTCAAATTCATCAATCCATTTATCAACATTTTCATATGCATTACCAGAAAAAGGATTAACAATACTTTCAATATCCGAAAAACTAAGATGAGGTTTAAAATGATTTTGAATTGGAAGCTGCATACTGTTATTTACTTGAGACTCACTAAAACCAGGATTGTTTCTTTGATTATCATCAAGCACTACTTCAGAAATTTTATTAATAGTTTCATCTTCAATATCACTATTTTCTTCATGCAAAATATTTTCAAATAATACAGATAAATCACATAGAAAAGAGACAATTCGGGTTATGACTTCTGATTTTAACCCTTCTGAATTTATACATAGTACGTTACACACTTTAATTAACTTATTCAAAGTAAAACTATTCTGCACTGTATCTATTTTCTTATTAAATTCTTCAGAATCTGGTTTAAATATAAAGCAAAAAAATTCACGTAATCTTTTCCGGTTATTTCGATCTCCATCAGGTATTAAAAATAAGCTTATGCAAACTTTTCATTTCAGAACTTTTACTGTTCTTTAAAGCTGCTTCCAATTCTGGAATTTCTACTAACTTCATATTGGAAAGATAGTTTTGTACTCACCCGACAGATGATCGTCTTCAATGGGGGTAATCCACACACTTAAATAGTAATCCAATAAATCGAATAACTCGTAACAACAGTTCACTCAGTTCACAGTTCAAGACACAGTTCATAACACTAGTTGCACACTTTCGAGTTCGAAGCCGCACGGGTGGTCGAAAAATTTGTAGGTATTTCTTTCAAAATAGAGAGCACGACTATTACATTTTGAATGCTTTTAGTTTACTAATAAGAAATAGATAAAAGTAATAAATATAAATTAAGTAAAGATTAATGTTGCAGGATTCATGTAATGATGAAAATTTCAGTCCTTTCACACAAAAATCTATGGCTAGCTTTAAATAGTATGATCATCTAAAGGCAGTTAACACACAAGAAGACCGTCTGTCTTCTTTAACTCTTGAAAGCATGCGAGCCGTCTGCTCACATCTCCACTCTCTAATCTCGACCACGTCTGGACGCTATCTGACGCTGTCTGGAATGCTTCGCACTGCGCTGTGCTGGAATGACGTCATTGCTGGTAATTCGCTAAGTCAGCATTGGTCGTTGATCTCCACATGTATTTGCATCTATTATGGTAAAAGTCGTCTTCTGCTTGAGTTTATAACCATTATTAACTTCACTCTCTTCTAAATTTGCATCTGCGGCTTCTTGTCTCGGGATATCATTAATGGATGTCTTCATCATTTATTTTGTTATAATGATTTCCAGTAGATTTTCATGTATTTTATTGTAAGCTTTGTACTTTACTCGTAACTCCTTTAGTTCTTAAATATCATAAGTTACAGCTCTATCACCTGCTTTTGCTACGTTCTAGAATAGCATCTTCATCCTAGCCATCAATTCTTCATAGGAACCGGAGCTCTACTAATTCGCTATAGGTTTTAATATCTTCTATTTTGAAACCATCGTTGTCGAAATTTACGTCAATGTCGTGTCGCAGATTTCGATAAGCAAGGACTGCTCAAGAGAGTAATACTAGTGAAACATCTGTTCTCTGGAAATGTACAATAACAAGATTAAAACATCAGCAAAAGCTCTAAAACACATCCTTCGTGTATGCTAAAAATCTTAAGCATTGACTTAATTGTTATACGATTTATTTAGAATTGAAAAAAAATTAACTTTTTCTATTACTAGCTACCGCTGTATCCCACGATCATTACGGCACAAGAATAATAGGGAAATAATTGATTGAACAGTTTGCAGTTTCTCAAGATCCCAAATGCTAATAGTTGCCCTGGCTGACGAGGCATAACCCAAATTGCATGTTCGCCTAATAAAAAGGCGAACAAGTTTCTTTTCTGGTTAAAAGTTTCTTTTGATCAGAAATATACAGAGTAATAAACAACTGTGATCTGTAAGCGTTATGTACAAATTCTCCAGTTGCAGCACTAATTTTCGATACATGTGGTGAAGTCCTGCAAAATCGGGATAATAATTAACCCTTGGGATAAGCTTGCGCGGACTGACCCCTGCAATAAACCTGATATTTGGAGTATCATTTCTTTGAGAAACTATGAAAGCTCTATTTGAAGTGAACGACCAGATCGGGAGAGCAATACCTCGTTCCATATCAAGACGATTTACGTTTATAAATGAGGCCTTCATGCCAATCACGACCGAAAGCCTCCGCCATGTTTATCACGAGGAAAGCAATATTCTATTTGATATCTATGCCCCCCCACAGATTCGGCAAGTCGAAAATGTTGCTTCCTGATCGATAGATTTCAATGAAATCAATGTCACAGATCCGTTTGAGCGGCAGAAGACTATCATTAAGCTGTAATATGCGGGTGTTAATTCTTTCAAATACTTTTTCTAACTCTGCAAGAATACTGATGGATCTGTAATATTTAGGTTTAGTTGTTATCTTACTTGGCTTAGCGATAAGTATAATTTTTGCATATTTCTGACTTTTGAGAAAGTAAGGAAACGACAAGCAAACATTTATACGACTTGCAAATTACATTATGGAAAAGGTTTTTGGTTGCACTATTCGAGATTTCATCAAAAACAAGGGCTTTCCTAATTTTCTGTATCTTAATAATATTAATCGCTACGTGTGAGGAAACTAGGTTTGGAAGATTGCGAACTGTAGAAGAGTTCATCTACTCGTTTACTGAAGTACATACTATCGTAACAAGGTACATATTATCCCTGACTGAAAAATTAACCCTTATCATATGATTTTTATATAAAACTAATGACGCACATATACTTATATAATGCTTCAGTCAATAATAAACATTAAAATTTGGGAACTGAAATCTTTACCAATCAATAGGAATAAAGTAACGCCATATCCCTTATTATTCTTAGCCTGCTTTCAAATGGAAATAAATGCATTCTTTTCTCACATGCTGCTCTGTTAACAAATCGTTGCCTGTCTTTCTTACATCAATTACATTGTTATAATATTACATTGTTATAACAATTTAGGTATTTTTGAAAACAGGGAAGATGAAAAATGAGCAACGCCTTCGCCGGGGCTCTAACCACGGCCCTCTCGAATACGCGCCGAGCGTGCTGATCACTATAATATGAAACGTCTTCGCCGGGACTCGAACCACTGGCCTCTCGAATACACGCCGAGTGTGCTGACCACTACACTACGAAGACATGCTTGGGAGAAATACCTTATAATATAAAAGTGCACCATTATAACTGGCCATGAACAAGTGTGCAAATTGCTGAAATTAAGCTATACATTTTATGTTCAAGAATGCTTTTCAAAAATAAAAGTTACTCGAGTTTTTTCGAAATTCACTGCAGAAATTGCTTTTCACTCAAAATTGAATCGACTAAAATGCTTCATGGGAATAAGTTCTTTGAATATCATCATTGGTTCATAATCTCTTCTATTCACGGAAATATTTGGCCTGACTTGAATTGCTGGTTTGGCTTTGCCTTAATACTCGAGTAAAGACGAAACACCTTCGTATTTATTTATTAATTATTGTTCATTGAACGGGAGTTGGTTTGTTCCCCTTGAAAAGTCAACTAATTTCCGATCAATGACAGTGATACATTTAATTTAATTCTTGCCTTAATTTATTCCTTTTACAATTGAAATTGTTCTTCATGATGATTTAATTCCAGTCCCGTTAAAACATTATTAACATTTTACTTTCAGTTACTCCAAAACATCTTTCAAAATGTAATTATTCACTCTTTTAAGATAATTCTACTTTATTAACTTAGGAGAATATAAGAATTATCAATATTTAGAAAATAAATATATATATAGAGAGAGAGAGAAGTAGAAGCAGAAAGAGATATATTATATCATAACCATTCTAATTTACTAATGAAATTATAATTTGATGCTTTATTTAATATTATGAAACAATTATTCCAATGCATTGTTATTAACTTCGGATTCATTAAATGCATTAATGTTGAAAAATGTTAGATAATGGATAACGAATTTTAGAAGCAATATATTTATTGATCTTCTATTTTTCTCTTTCTTCAACAATTTTAAAATCATTTTTACTTTTTCTTTTCTAGGTATTTGAATTATTCATTGGACAAAACTAAAATAAAGCCTCAAGATATATTCGTGGTTATTCAAATTGCTGCTCGTAATCTTATTGGTCGATCTTTAACATGGAACTTTGTGCGCACAAATTGGCCCGTATTTTTAAAAACGTAAGCAATGCTTCTTTAGAACTATCTTATATGTATCTTATTACATGCTTATTCTAACGTGACATCTTGTTAGGACTGATAACGTTACTGCAGTTGTTTTATTCAAAAGTTCAAAAGCTCTGGTATATGTAGGATAATTTTCTTCCTATGTTTAATATCAGATTTTTAAGTATATTTTAATGAAGCTAGAGCGGTTTATACTCTTTTCTTAAAGTTATATTTTAATGCAACTTTATATTTCCATATACCCGCCACAGATTTGCTTATATTAGGTATTAATGACCACGACAACTTCCGTAAATGATCATACTCAAGATTACTACTATATTTTGCTGAAGTTGCGTTGTTTCTTTTGATGCATCTCCTCTTTAGTTCAAGCCCAGAAAGAACGTGCAGCCAGAAAGATATTGGTCTGTGTATGTGAAACTTTGAAATACTCAGATCTACCAAAGAAATCGTCTGTCAAAGAACTGGTTTTCAAAATGAAAGGGCAAACTTTCTTTTGAAATTCAATTAATAATATCCATAATTATAATCTATAATCCATATCTTTTTTTTTTTTTTTTTTGATTAGCAAGTTGTGACGCATGCCTTTTCACTGTCCTGCCAGCTCACTTTTAGCAGTTCTTTTCTGCAGAGATAGTTAAGAAAAAATAGCATGGCTAAATTGAAGAAAACAGTCTTCTTTTTTTCCTTTTAAATGTTCGATGAAACCTTTTTACAGTTAGTAGTAGCAAATAAATCAGTAGTATGTGAAGATCTAAGAGCCTTATACGACTGCGGATCTTTCAAAGTATATAAAATCATAATTTTAAGTAATGAGGTGCATAACTCTAATTTCAACAAAATTTGTTAATATAAGAATGACATCATAACGTTTAAAAATAAGGGTGATTTATCAGAAAACCATATTTTTTAAATCTATTATCAAATTCTGCAAAAATGATTTTTTAACTTTTAGATTAACAGATTTTTATATTTTCTTCTATTCAGTATTTCAATTTAATTACCATTTAATTCATCATTTTAATATATATAATAATGTTCAAAAATGATTTGTTAACTATCAAAATTAAAAAACGAGTAGAATTTTGTTTTAATTTTGAAGCTGAAGAAATCTTCTTCTTCTATTCAGTATTTCAATTAATTTACCATTTAATTTCATCATTTTAATATATATTAAATTTTCAAAAAATGATGTTTAACTATCAAAATTAAAAAACGAGTAGAATTTTGTTTTAATTTTGAAGCTGAAGAATCGATAATAACATAAAAATTTTGATAATACAACTTATAATTTCATGCAAATTTTAACGTGTATCGTTAATTTTATCTTACATAGTTCGCATTTCATTCAATGTGAACTTAAATATTAGATAATGTTTAAAATATTAAAAATATTAAAAGCATTAACTTTCGAGAATTTTCCTTTTCTTGAGCAAGAAACCAAAATTTCAGTTGAGGAATTGGGTAATATATCAAATACATTAATTCTTTACTGCATTTACTATTTCCTCTATTTCAAGAAACCGCATTTCATTGAGATACTGCATTTTAACTTAATATTAAGAATCTCATATCAAAGGCTTTAAGAGGTAAATTGAAATTTTATTACAAAAAAGAATTGCCATATATTTCCGTGTGTCTAGAAATCTCAGCAAATATCTTACTATTGAAGATGTTGGGTCAAATGATTTTAAAATAATTTACAAATAATTTGATCACAGAAAGAATACTAGAGATAAAATAATTGGGGAAAACATATTAGTTTATTTTATTCAATTCAAGTAATACATCACTCAAATTTCTCAATACTGCTATTTGATTTAGAATTGTTTAACAATTATCAGAAGTCTCTCTCTGCTAAAGGCGAATCCACGCGAATGACATTATCCTTTGTTTTATTGTTAATATCGTTATGAACCCTCTTTTGGATATTATCATCACCAGTTCCATTGATTCTATTGTTCTGCAAAAGTGATATCTTTTGGTTTAAAGCTAGCAGAATAGGCAATCAGTTTTGATACAGGTATTTTTCACTATCTAGTAGAAATGAAATAAATGAAATTTATTCACAAATACGAGAGAGCTGTCGAAAGAAGACAAACTTGTAATTGTCTGAGAATTGTTACCGCAACTGAGAATCCAAGTAAAATTCACCATAATGTTGTCAAACTACCAAATGAAGTTCATGCCTGAAAGTTGGAAGAAGTGAAAAAGAGAAATTGTGCCATAGAGTGACGCTTCATTCTGCATTCCGGCTCAAGTGTCAAATAACTATGTCGAATTAAGTGCCGCTTCAGTCTGCAGTGTTCTCGTTCTTAATTTTCAAATGGAAATTGAAAGCGAATTTTTATTCATCTTCAGCTCGTCTGAAAGGTCTAGCTCGTCTGAAAGGTCTAGCTAGAATCAGACGGCCAATTATTCTAACTTTTGGTATTATATATTGCTAGATTTGAAGAGCGAGTTGAAATTCGGTTTTATACAGATATTCAATTTTGGCTAGGTTTTTTATGGCTAATTTATGTAATACTAAATTTATTTTATGTTTTGTAATGTAATCTTTTTATGAAGCATTTTCTTAAAAATATTGTTTGTTGTAAATAGTTGTACATTTTTATTTTGTTATTTGAATGAAGAATTAATCACTTTAAGCACGGTTTAAGACTTACTGTTTCAATATCTATATTCAAATATTTACATTTTATTGTAGTGTTCTATTATTTAATTACTGTTTATTATCACTAAATGTACATTCTAAATTACTTCATAACTGGAAATATATTTCAATATTATTATTTATTATAATTATTATTATTTTCTAATTTCAGTTACGGTGAAGGATTTTTTGCAATGGGCATCATTATAACTGAAGTTACGTGCCATTTCAGCACTCAGTCGGATTATGATGAGGTAATACTTTTCAGTTCAGTTTACAAGTATTTCGTAGTTGTCCGTTTTGTTGTCTTATCTATGCATTTCGTGCAAGAATGGTTGCCAGAGCCTCAAAAAGGTTAGGGCTTCTACTTCCACCCAAATTTTGAGAGAATGCGACCCGGGGGGGAAGGGGGGTCAGAGGGTCTTCCATTCCTCTCTCCTGCCACCAAACTACATTAGAGGACTTTCGGCTCTCCATATAGTTAGAGAGCTCCAATGCCGCAAAGACACTATACATTTACAAACACCCTTCTCCGGGATTCGAACTCGGGCCCTTCGGTATCGCAATGGGCTCATCTAACCTCTACACCGTCTGGCCGGCATCCCTTTTAGTAACAAAGTCATAATAATTAGCTCAGATTCTCAGCTCAACTACAAACACCTCTTAACAGATGTTAGAGCTCGATGGGATTCATTTAAATTTGTAATTTTATCTACATTAACGGTAAACCAAAATTGGATAAAACTCTACGAATATTAATGTGCAATTTGAGCCACTGAATCAGTAATTGAAACAATTTCATATGGGAAGTAATAAATTTTAATAACTGCATTTTTTGTGTATAGAGTACAGAAGTGTTTTAATTTCATCTGACCTTAAAATTTTTTCATTTACACTATCCTTTTCACTAAATTTCGGTATGAATATTTTTACATTACTCTGTGCTTGCAAAATCAGTGTGCCTTAGAGACATTCATATGACATATTTTTAGAGTCACTATCTTTCATGATTTACTTACATCTTACTTATACCTGTACAGTTGATATATGTTTCATGTACGAAGAAGGTCACCAAAATATATACCTGTGCCCCGTATCATATTCCCCGACCTCAAACAAAAAAGATTCTGCGGAGTATAAAATACTGTTGCGTGCGTACGGGTTCGTTATGAATTGAATGCACAAGTCCGATGAAAAATGAGCAAAAATTTATTATTATCACAACAAAAATGCTTAAATTTTCTCAAATTATCCTGCAGTATTACAATATCTCACAGTAGATATCTTTTAACTACTCAAATGTCCAATAGAACTAATTCAAAACAGCTAAAGAAAGCTAATCCGCGAATTCGCTACAATCAACAAGAGCAGGTTTTTTAAACAAACTCTTAGAACAACAACAAACTAACTAACTCTCGAATTGAGAGGTTTTCCTCCTATTTATAAGACTTTTAAATCGCGTGCGAGTATTTTCTAGTACTTTCTCGAAATCAAAAAGAGATATTTATTAAACGTTTAATGCATGCGCTCTTGTATTTTCAATTTTCCGGCTTAGCTTTCTTGTAATATTCGTCACTGCGCGGGAAATAAAACCATTTAATTTATAATTGAACTAACATTAGCCTTTTTAAATACCAAATTCGTAACACTGCCCCCTTCCCAAGGACTGCACGTCCCTGGCAGTACAATCCCTGGACAGGAAGCCAAACTTACAACTGAGGCATAAATGCAACTGGGGCATAAACATTACATTACAATATCAAACAACATAAATAATAAATGCAATAACTAACTTAAACAAATCAAATGCTATCAAATACTAAAAATACAAAACAAATACTAAATACAAATAAACTCAAAATACACATTTAAAAACAAAAAGGACCATTCTTATACTATTACAATTATTTACATTACGTACTATGACCATAGTAATGAGCTAATCTGTCGTAATGAACGACTTTAGGTTTAGAGTTCGAAGACTTACGAATCCGAACCACGACGTCATTCAGCCTGTTTAGGACTGTGTACGGGCCATCCCAAGGTGACTGTAATTTCGGACAAAGTCCTTTCCATCGAGTCGGATTCCACAACCTCACCTTGTCTCCTTCGTGGAATTGATGTTCGTGGATTGATTGTAGCTCTTGTGTCATATCGGGTCTTCATCTTCTCCGTCGCCAAGTTAACTCGCTCTGGTGCAAAAGTTTGTGCATCCCTTCAAAACGGTCCTGAATCTGAATATATTCCTCAGACGATGAAGAAGCATCCGGAGGCGGCCAAACCAATAGATCACAAGGCAGACGAAGGTCACGACGGAAGAGCATCTGCTATGGAGAATAGCCGGTAGCTCGTGGACACACTGCGGTAAGCCCGTAAAAAAGAGTGTTAATTTCTTTCCCAGTCCTGTTTGTTTGGAAACCACTAATGAAGGTTATTAAGGATGGTTCGATTGACCTCTCTACCATGCCGTCCGACTGGGGATCAATGGCGTCGTTTGAGTTTTGTCAATGCCAATAGTTGCATAGTTCTTTGAATTACTGCCAGGAAAATTCTTCCCTGATCGGAATGTAACTGAAGAGGCATTCCGAACTTGCAAATCCAGTGCTGTATCATTACCTCAGCTACTGTGACAGCCTCTTGATCAAGAATAGGATAAGCTTCAGGCCACTTGGTGAAGTAATCGATGACAGCGAGTATGTATTTGTAGCCATCAGCAGTTCGTGGCAGAAGTCCCAGGATGTCAAAGGTGATACGTTCAAAAGGCGCCTCTATGTTGTAACGTTGCAGCTTGCCTCGGCTGCGTCTCCTCGTCAATTCTAGGAAGAGGGTAACTGTCTTTCTTCGTAACCTCATTCAACGGCGACCCCGAACGCAAAATCTTGTTGAGCCGTCTTTCTTTCTGACTAGGATGATGGGAGATGCCCATGGACTTACTGAAGGCTCGATGACATCGCCTTCTTCCATATCTTTTAACAGTGTTCGCACCTCTTCCTGTTTAGCAAACTGTAGACGTCGTGGATGTTGCTTGATCGGGGGATGATCGCCGGTATCTATTCTATGTTGTGTCAAACTAGTTCGACCCACGTCAGAAGACGAACGGGGGAAAACAACTTGAAGATCTTTAATGACGCGATCGGCAGCATTCCTCTCTTTATCGCTTAATTGCGCATTCTCTGAGGACACGGATTCTTGGATGTTAGTCTTTCTTTCAACGGTGGTTACTGGAGTACATGCTGCAACCACTTCACCTTTCTTAATAATTCTTCCCCCTTCTCAGTTCATTGGCGACTCTCACCGGATAACCGTTCTCTGGATAGTCGACGAGTGTTGAGGCTACTAGTACTCCTTTTGGGCTATTACAGTTATTGGATATGCTATGATGCCGTAGCGGAAATTTCTTTTTCGGCTATGGATCCAGGAAGTAAAATTTCTGTTCTTGCTGTATTGTGATATGTCTTGTGCTATATTTTATGTTACAGATTTAACTTCCTCATCCATTAACTCCAATAACGCTATGTCCTCAGATGTAGAATGCAATTCGTTATTTTTTAAATTCCAAGGAAAAATTGTATTTCCTTAGAAAAGTCCAATCCGAGTATGCAAGAATCAGTGATCTCTGCTACATATGAGGTGTGATGGTAAGCGGCACTTCCAAACGTGATGTTAACATTTTATTTTCCATCGATGTCGATCTTCTCACCACCGGACACAGTCTTAGGTAACGCAGGGCGGCGTCCAGATAAGTTTGCTTCCCAAATTGTTGAGCCAAATCTTTTTCGGATGATGGTAACGTTGGCTCCGTATCTATCGTCATATTGCAGGAACCCCATTATATGTCCTATTATGAAAAGTCCATTACTGCCGCTTCTCACTGCAGAAATTGAAGCGCTTTAAAAACTGGGGCTTTTCATTACTGGCACCCCGCTCCCTGCGAGATGGCCACTAATTATTTTCCCTGCTGTTTGTTAGGAGCGCTCTTAGCATCCGTCCCTGGGGTGTTCTGAAGTTTCGTCGTATGTGCCTTCAGCACCACAGTTCCAGCACTTTCGGTCGGTTTTCTTGTCACCAATATTCCGTCTCAAGGCGTTCAGTTTGTCTAGTTAAATCGTCTAGACAAGCACTGACTTGATCCCCGGCTCCTGGACTTTGAGCGCTCTGACTGGATGGCGGTCTCGACGAGTGGCTTGCTGGGCTGCCTCAATTTCATGGCGTACACAAAGCGCTTTTCAAATCTTTAACATCCGCCGTTCGCATGCTTTCTGTATTTCATGGTCCCGGATGCCATCGGAAATATTGCAGGGCAGGATTAACCTTGTTTCTGTCGGGCACTCCGAAAAGGCGTGATGTGACAGCCTTTCAACATCCGTGGCGGCTCCTGAAGTGTTTCGGTGAGCTTCTGTTGACGGATTTTGATTGGAACCTGCAGTAGTCTTTTAAAAAACATTTCTCCGAAGCGCACCAAAGCGCCGATAGAGCTTCGAAATCTAGCCTTTGTTTTCGGAAAGCGTCTGCTCTCAGAAAAGCGGCGAGATGACGGCCTTAGCTTGAGAATCCCATCCATTCGCATCCCGCAACGATAGAAAACTGGGTCTTTATATACTTGCCAGGATGTCTTCCCATCAATGTGGATAGCTTCAGAATGGCGAGCAGGCATCGGTAGAATTTTAAAATCATCACTCTTGTCCCTACCGTCGCTGCGAATTTTTGTAAAGTTTCCATTTCTTTGGCAACTGCAGAAACTCTCTCATCAATTTGTTGTTCGATTGGTGTTGGATGTCACAAACTCTTTCCTTCAATTCGTTCTTTCCACAGCAGAATTCTCCCTTCTATAGTTTTTTTTTTGACGGAGGAGACCTTTTCTTTTTTCTTTTCTCCAACCTTACTTTCGACCGAGTCTATTCTACCTTCTATAGCCTCGAATTTGTTTTCTATTAAGCGGTAATTTCTCTTTTCATTTCCTCTTGACTGCTTCATCATCTCGTTTCATCTCGTCTTTAACGGATTTCATCTCCTCTTGACGAATTCCTGTCCCGCTTCAATCTTTTCCTTACGGATTTTTGACCAGCATCCATTTTCTCTTTAATTTCTTCTTTAAAGGATGTTTGCCCAGCTTCCATCTTTTCCTTGGAAAGCAGCAAAAGCAGTAATGAGCTGTCTCAATTGTTCTTCCATACCTCTTGTTATTGGCATTCAAATCCCACTTCTGACACCAAAAATTGTTGCGTGCGTACGGGTTCGTTATGAAATGAATGCA